CGTTCACAAAAGCCAGTATCTGAGACGGCTCTGCAGAGGCCAGCTCTCAATCCTCGACATCAGCAGTAGCAAAGCAAAGTTCATGGCACGAACTGTATTCGTCTCGGCGCACTCAGTGATAAGGTGTTCTGGTATTTCCCCATTTTCTCCAGAGAATTTGCATCGCCGTTGTTTCCCAGCTTCAGCCTACTGAGGTGATCGTTGAGGAGACAGTGTCCTGTTAGAAACCCCGTGACAATCCGAAGATTGCTTTTACTTAAATCAAAGAAAATCTTTTATTTTTCTCGGTCGTAAGTTCTGATGAACTTTTTCGAGTTTCAGGCCGTTGGGGGACACCCATCCCAGGTTTCGAGTGGAGTCTTCCAGGTTCTTCAGTTCCGCTTTCAGTTGGTTCCCGCTTGGAAAACAGAACGGTTCTGGTCCAGTTAGTGGAGTGTTCGCTCCTTTTCTAGCTAAATAATTTGCTTTTTCATTGCCTTCTATCTCTTGGTGAGCAGGCACCCAGAGTAGGAGGACTCTATTTTCTTTGCCTGATTTGTTGAGCTTCTCTAGGCATTCTTTGACCAACTTCGAATTGATGGTTACTGAGTTGATCGCGTTTAGTGCTGCTTGACTATCGGATAAGATGGCTACTTCCTGTTTTCTACGAGTATAGTTCCTATCTAAGATAAATTGTACGCATATTTCGATAGCGTATATTTCTACCTGAAGGATTCTGGGGTAGGTGCCCATTGATTCGGAGTATTTAGTTTTTGGCCAAAATACTCCTATCCCTGTCCTTGCTTTGGTTTTGGAAGCACCAAAATCCATCCATATATACGTACAAACTTACACGTTTATAATATTAGCAAGGATGTCTTGTACAAAAGTTAAAATTATTCAATTATTTTAAATAGTCAAGTTCTTGAATTTATTATCACTTTTATATTAACACATGCTACTTTTTCTTCATCTCTATAAAAACTCTCCTAACAATTAAAACTACTCCAACCTCATAAATAATGATACTGCCACCGAATAAATAACTAAACTGTGCTATTACTGATAATATTTTACCTTATTGAAAACTAATATTTTAAAGAAATTATACATTACTCATAGTTAAACAATTACTGCTAGAATGCCCTAGCAAAAGGAATAAATAACGAGCCCCATTATCTAAAGCGACGGAAATAAAATAAATCACCAGTCAAACGGGCGTTTAGTGAATCCATAAAGAATAAAAGACGTTTGATGGCGGCGCGAAATTAACAACCGAGCAAATAGACAAAAACCATAAAGTTTATGCCGTCTTTCAAAACAAATTTACACCTTGCTCGCACCGCGTAAAATACTGCCACCTATCTTTTATGAATATTCACAACGGCGCACTAACAATAACATTGTATCAAAATATTCGCCGGCAAATGCGCAGGGGGAGCCACCGTAGAAATAAAACGAAAATAACTTTTATAATTTACGTTTTGTGTGTGTGTATTACCGTAAAATATAAAACGCCACGTTGGAATATGCCAAGTCGCGACGTAAATGAGAATAGTTCCGGATGAAATAGACAGCCTGCAGTTGAGTTTAATGATTTGTTTACTGATAAACAACAATGTATTTTGTCGGACAGAAGTAAGGGTGGATTTAACTATGATCCGGTATGAAAAAGTGTTCTAAACTCGAGCCTCTTTCTCACTGCTACTTGTTTTGTTCTGCGATATGGTATTAGCAGATTTTGAAACCGACGCGCGACGCCGACGTTTTGTCTTTAGCTGCAAAATAAAACACTAATTTACCACAATACACCCAAACACTTTACTTTTGCGCTGGACGTACGTTTTGTTAACTATGTCTCAGTCATGACTAGTCTCAGTCATGACTAGTCTCAGTCAGTCAACATCAACAGATGATTAAAACTACTGAGTGTTTTAATTATCTATTGATGACGCTAACATGAGCGAAACGCGCGTCCAGCGCAAAAGTAAAGTGTTTTGGTGTATTGTAGTGAATTAATAACCCGTAATCTTTGAGCTGCCATCAACTTTCTTTTTTTTAGTACGGTACTGCATTTCTTTATTATGAATTTTAAAAACTTCTAAGGTCCCAAAACCAATGATGTATCGCACATTTGTATGAAAGAAAAAATAATATAAATAATTTCCAGGCAAAAGCTTACCAAAAATCTATTCTCTGTGCCTCTCTAACAAATTATTTCATATGGAAAATGACATTAGTATGATTTTTTTCCAATAAGAGCGATACATCATTGGTTTTAGGACCTTATAATCTCTCAAAATCCGTAATACAATATTCAGGGCTGTAAAAAAAAAAGTTGAAACATCGGTTTGAAAATCTGATAACAACATCTTATGAGTATGTAAAATATATTTTGTTATAATATGTATTCAAATAGAGTCATGGAAATATAAAAATAATGTAATCGCAAATATTTTGTTTTCTTCAAAAATCTCTAAAATAATCTATAATAAATAATATAATAAGTAATGTTTAAATTTTTAAGGCAACATTTTGATCAGCATAAAAATGAGTAACTTTTCCTCCATTTAATCTACCTTGTATCTCCTCTGGTTCCCTAGATCCCAATGACGAGGCTCGAATTTGGGACTGCTTTAATAGTTTTTGAAGTACCAAAGTTAGCAACTGTTCATTACTGGTTGAAAATGTGTGTGGTGGTAGAAACTGAAATCTTCAAAACATCCAAAATCAGTAAGAACTTCATGATCATGTTCTATACAGGGTGGTCCGAATTGTATTCGCCAAACTTTGGCAGTATATTCCGCTAATAAAAATAAGTAAAAAATTTCGTATAAATTTATGTTCTAAAATGCTTTTGTCGGAAATACAGGGTGTAGAAATTTCATTTTTATTTAGATTTTTTCCAAATAATTTCTGACCTAATGCCGATATTTGGATAAAAATTGGGTGTTTTTTGACATGGAAAATTTGATTTCAATGTCATTAGAATCAGAATCCTACTTGTAGGGAGCGCCACCTATATATTTTTAGCTGTTTTGAAGAGTAATAACTTTTCGTCTGTCCCTGTATTACACTACTGAGCGGAAAAAATATACATTTTCGTTATTTTTTATGTAAAAAAGGTCTCTTAGTAAAAATTGCTACGAGTAATGGTTCTCAAGATATTTGATTTCAAAATAGTCAATACCTGTAATAATTGACAAAAATATATAGGTAGTTATTAGACTGAAATAATAAATTTAAAATGTTTTTTTTTTGTACCAAAGAATCGACAGAAACAGTTTTATCGTATTTTTTTCTAGTAAAAAATTATGATTAGCTTAAAAAATAAAAAGTTCCTAAATTTATCGTTTCAGTCAAATAACTATCAAGTCAACATGTTTATTTTTTTATCAATAATGACATTGTATTGAGTACTTCCATTCCAAAAATTGAGAACGGTTGCTCGTAACGATACTTACCAAGAGACATTTTTTTCGTAAAATATAACGAAAATGTATATTTTTTACACAGTAGCTTTATACAGTTACAGATGAAAAGTTATTATTCTTCAAACCAGTTAAAAACATGTAGGTGGCGATCCCTACAAATAGGAGTCATACTGACATTGAAATCCCATATTTCTCGTGTCAAACATCACCCAGACACCATTTTTTATCCAAATATTGGAAAACCCAGAAATAAAAATGAAACTTCTTCACCCTGTATCTCCGAAACGAAGCGTTTTAGGACTTAACGTTATATGAACTTTTTTACATATTTTTATCTGCAGAATATGCTGCTGAACTGTCCCGTATACAATTCGGACCATCCTGTATAATAATTTATATGGTGGATTTGGTGTCGTTCACTACCAGGGAGATTCTAAGTGTTTAAAGCGAGAGAATACATAATAGTGACAGTCGTGTATCACGATTCAGATTTGAATTTTGTTTTCTGTTATTTTTTGTAATAAAAATAAAATATATAAGAGAGAAACAAAATGTAAACCTTTTAATATTTAATAACTACTCAACATTTACTAAAACAAACTACTACCTACTACTATTCAACGAGATCATACTTGACAGTGACAGTTGTGTCTGTCATGTTTTTTCACAGGTAACTGTCTTTTCTGTGATTTTTTTTTGAGCCGTCATCTGTCAGAATCTTCCCTGACTATTCGAGAGACTTTATTATCTTTTATATGAAAAAAAATGTACTAGAGTGGCTGTCACGAAAAATACAGGGGACAGAGTAAGCATGATAAATATTATAACATACATTACTAAAGGGATTAAGAGATTATGTTACTATTTTTATTGTACTTTATAAAACACTTTTCTTTTGTATTTTTTACTGAAATTACTGCGTAGAGAGAAAACGTATACAAAAAAGAAAAATCTACGATAAATTAAGACTTACTGACGTGCCTCTGCTTCACACGCCATTAATGTTTCACCTTCAAGTCGAAAAATTTAAAATACGATTTGCTTCATTTCAAAAACTGCCGAGTTCCGCAAACCGAACGATATTTTTACAACAATTAATAACCGTTTGTTGCAATTACCATAATGGAGAACAAAAAAAGTAACAGAGAATGAAACTTCCAGTCCGTATAATTTGCTGAATTCCAACTGTATATCAGATTTTTCAAATTATAGCAATAGATTTATTTTATGTCGTTTTTCAACGTTGCATGTTTATTATAATTATTTTCCAGCGTCACGACAAGCCATGGCCTATTATTAGTTTGTTTTGTATTAATTTTTAATTAATGGTACATTATTTAGGGCTTTATATCGTGATATTAATAGTTTATGTAACTTTGAACACAGTTCGAGTATGTAAGAAAGTTTCGTGACTCACATTACAATTTTATTAATTACAACTATTAGTCAACTATATGAACTAAATTCTTGAAACTTGTATTTCATTTTCTTTATAAGTATTTATTAATATTTTAATATAACAATTATGTTTTTTTAGACACTTATAACTAAGAATATTCTTATATTACAATTTATTTTTTTTTTCAGGTAACCCAGGGACAAGTTTCACTCACAGAATAAATAAGTTGGGGTAAGGTTGTTCTTCTAAATAAACAAATTCATTTCATTTTTGCATAGCTCATTTTTAATGTTTATAATACGCATAAAACCATAATATACACAATTTTAATCCGCATAATTATAAACAGTAGTTACTGTAATAGCTTACTTCGGGTTTTTCTTATTACCGATTCTGAACCGTCCAGCAATATTTCCATCTGCGCATGCGCTTTAAAGTTCTAGGACAATCACAATCGGTAATAAGAAAAACCCAAACTAAGCTTTTATCACCCACAATCAATAATATGAATTAAGAAAGATTAAGATTAAAAAGACCGTTCTCTTTAAGTGTCTTATAAAAATTAATTAATTTAAATAAAATAAAACACCGGGAGTTCATATTCAACTCACACTATTGAAATCTCGATAACGGTAAATTATACAGGATGACTTAAATAGGATAGAGGTGCCTGTTGATAAGCCCATTCATATTGTCTTTATTAATTATTTTAGTTTTAGTTTTTATATTTTACTAAGTAGTTTCTTTTAACAATTAGAATAAAGCTACAAAAAAAATTCGGAGAAACTATTTTAGCTTCATCTTTTGGTAGTGCCAAAAACTACGGTACTTACGGCTCTTCGATTTTTTAGATCTATCGTCAACTTTTTCATATGGGCTCGATATTTTAGTTTTGTTGCAGTTTCGAATAGCTACTTTTATTCTCTGTTTAAGATAGATGCACGATGAGCTGTAATTTTAAAGTAAATTTTAATACCAACTAAATAGACATAGATTTTTTTAATCTGTCTCAAATTGATGATCCCCAATGACATCTTTTTTTTTTAATCTCTGGGACCTTGTGAAACCTTGTGCCACTAAAAATATTCTGTACAAATAAAGAAATACGGGATATGATAAAACTCAACTAGAATGACGTTACCCTCAGAAAATTTTATTCAAATTCAAGATAAAAATGTGGATTAAAATTGAGGAAGAAATTAAAGACAACTTAGTCAATCAGGTCAAATCAATGCCAAATAAATACTAAAAGAAATATGAAAAACTATCTATAATAATGTCGAAATAAAATAATTGAACACAACAGATTCATCTGTGACTATCTAAGCAAATCAAAGTCTACCAGATATCGTAAAAGTATCTTTCTTTAAAAACTATTTTTAAATGAAGAGACAATAATAACAGAGATAAAAGGAGTAGGTATCCAAAACTGGTAACAATACAACGCCTATATGAATAACAATTGAAATAAAAAAATGAAGTTAATGATAGTTGTAATACTAAATGTCAAAGAACCAAAAGTGATTTTTGATCTCGACAAAAGATGAAGCCCAAGAAGTTTCGTTGAGAATGTATTTTTAAATTTCTTATAACTGCTAAATAAAATCTAAAACAAAAACAAATTGGAATATTAAAATCATTCTTATCGGGCTTATTAACACGCAACTATTTCCTAATTTCAGCAATCAGAATTATTCAGGATCTCTTACCGCTTCAGCAATCCTAGAATTTAAAACACCTGATGTAAGGCCTTTATTCTCAAAACTTCCAAATATATTACTACTATCTGCTATCTAGAGAGACACTATATTAAGTTGTAGCACTCCTAGCTTAAGTGCTTAAAATTTAGCATTTACGTGTTGATTGATTAATTTAACACATTTTAATAATGATTTTACTTTATTTCAATAATTTCTCATTTGAAATATTTCGCATATTTTTCGAAAAATTCAAAAATTAATCAATCTCATAAACATAATATCAGCATAAACCCTTATACTCGTTCGATTATAGAACTGATTAAATCATGGTGTTAAGTACTAATCGGTGAACGGGTTCTATGCAAATACTAATAACTAGAAAATAATTTAGCGAGCATTTTATAGCGCAAAGCCGAACAATACGATCCCGTTAACAAATTTACACAGTGACAGAATGAGAGAAATGGATAGATTGGTGTTAAAGCTTCATTGGCGGATTTTGTCAATATTTTGGCGATTTTGGCCTCGTTTATTTGATGCGCTATTAATGGAACCGGTATCGTTTTCAATATTATTGCGGCATTAATTTCAGGAAATGTACTAGCGTGACTAAATTTGTACTAAAATATTATTTTCAGTACGTTTCAGTCAAATATTACTTTCTCTAAAGACAGACGACATTCAAAATGACAAAAAATACAATTTAATAGTTAACTAAAATGAAAGACAACACTGTCACTACTATAAATCCTTTCGTTGGACGGTCTTTAGATTAATTTCGGAGATGAAGTAATGCTCTTCTCTTGTTGGATCTGTCAACATATTTTGCGGAAGATTCTGACATATAAATTGCCCAATATTTCCGAACTTCTTATGAAACTTTTGTAGACTATTTGTGAAACTTCATTGGGCATCAGATTTACCCTTTAACCTGCACCAATTTTTTTGTTCATTTATGCAATATCTGTTGTCTCTACTGAGACGTACTTTTTACCATTGTATCTAAGAATCTAAGCGTGTAATGTCATATTAGGTTGTCTATATAGACTTTGGTCGTTTCTGTTTCAAATGAAAAAGTTTCTTCGCTTTCAAAGCCAACTTTTTGAATTTTTTTTGGCTTGTTATATTTTTCCAATAGACTCTTGATTATTATTCAAACTACTAATTTGCTCCTATTTCGACAGTTAACTCTCATCATCAGGCTAAAGATCCAATTTAGAATTCTAAGTCGATTAATGTTAAACAGTCAAAGTGGTACGAATTGTATGCTGGAATCTTCGGCAGCATATTCTGCAGATAGAAATAAGTAAAAAAAAATGCTATAAACGTATGTCCTAAATTGCTTAATTTCGGAGATACAGGGTGTAGAAGTTTCATTTTCATTTCGATTTTTTCCAAGTAGTTTCTGAAGTAACGTCAATATTTGGATTGATATTTGGGAGTTTTATGATATGAGAAATTTGATTTTGATATCAATATGACTCCTATTTGTAGGGGGGCACATGGACATATTTATTTATTTATTTCTAGTCGGAACACAAACAGGACAAGTCCCAAAATTAGTGTCCACAGATTACATATCTAAATACCAATAACAATAATAACCATATGTTTTTAACTGTTCTGAGAGTAATAACTTTTCTTCCGTATTTGTATAAAATTACTGAGTGAAAAAATCATTTCCGTTATTTTTTACGTAAAAAATGTCTCTTGGTAAAAATTGCTACGCGCAACCGTTCTCAAGATATTTAGAATGGAAATAGTCAATACATGTCATTATTGACAAAAAATAATCATGTTGAGTGGATAGTTATTTGACTGAAATGATAAATTTAGAAACTTGTTATTTTTGTAAATTAATCATAAATTTTTCTTCCAAAAAATAATGATAAAACAATTTATGTGGAACTTTTGACACAAAGACATTTCAAATTTATGATTTCAGTCTAATAACTATTTAGTCAACATGTTTAATTTATGTCAATGATGACAGGTATTGAAGATTTCGATTCCATGCAAATATTTCAAGAACCATTACTCGTAGCGATTTTTACCAAGAGACTTTTTTTACGTAAAAAACGCCGTAAATGTATATTTACTCTTACTCAGTAGTTTTATACAGGTAGGGACAAAAAGTTGTTACTCTTCAAACCAGTTAAAAAATATGTAGGTGGCGCCCTCTACATGTAGAAGTATATATGATATATATTCACATCAAAATGAAATTTCTCATGTCAAAAAACTCGCAGACCACCAATTTTCATCGAGATATTGACGTTACTTCAGAAATTATTTGAAAAAAATCGAAATAAAGATGAAACTTCTATACCCTGTATCTCCGAAACTAGGCATTTTAGGACATTTTGAACTTTTTTACTTACTTTTATCTGCAGAATATGCCGCTAAAGTTTCTGGAGTAGAGTTCGAACCACCCTGTAGAACATAGCTAGTAAATAAATGATGCAGTGGAAATTTTGGATTCAAATATAAAAAATTCGTACTAAAATTAGTACTACAGTAGTTTAACAACACGGATCGTGTTAAATAATCGGCCGACAACGGTAGCGTCCCCTATTTTCACTGCGGCCGCAAACGAAAGTAAAACTGGCTGGTCAGGTCGACGCGGAAAGTGGCGAACGAAAATGGACAAATTGGCCGGTATTTATGGCTGATTTGGTGGCAATTATTTCGACGAGCCATCGGTCGAGAATGTGTTGTTTATTGATTGGCATAACTGGTCGACGCCAGAATTAACCTTTATACCGTATGACTTTGTTAGCGGCATTAACGGCACGAGCGGACAACAAAAACGCATATCGTAATTTTCTGACACAATAATCTAGAACGACTTAATATATTTATTACTTGTTTAAATGAAAAAGCATACCTTAGTCTCTTTTTGACCTTGACTTCTGATTAAGTTTCAAGACAAAAACTGGCGTATTTTGGTAACTTAGTGTTACTTTGCATTTTCAAAAATTCCGTCTTTATTTGCATTATTTCAGACCGAGTTACGGTTAATGTTTTCTATTACTTCAGATGTAACTTATGAATATAGTTCATAAAGCAACTGGCTAGTCAGGCTATAATGACTTTGATAGCAACACATCGATCAAAGTCAATGAATTCTCTTCAAGTAATAATATAATGGCTTCTTTCACGGTTCTCAGCTTTAAATTAGCATCGTTAGAAGTCAAAGCCAAAGAAGGAGCATGCACAAAAATACAGTAATATAATAAGAAAGAAATCCGTTATTGGCGAAGGTCTAAATTAAGTATATTTAATATAGCCATACACCATCTGCAAGAGGCTGCTACGCCTATAGTCCTCCAAAAAAATTATAAACTTGATTGAAATTGAAACCTTTATGTCATGGGGTAATCTATAACGTCAGAGTTTTGACAAAAAAAATTGGGATGAGCCCAACTGTTGAAACGCCCGTATATTGAAATAATGTAGTTTAAACATAAGTTTTTACATAATGTAGTTTAAAATATATGTTTAACAAAGAATAACAATTATTTGTACCAG